GGGCTATCCTTATTCTCCTCCCTTTTCCCTGTTGCCTGGTTTAACTATAAAAATACCAGACAGTTCTGCATATTGTCAAAGCAAGAATATACAGTATTTGCAGCGTTGACATCCGGCCCCCCTTACGAAAAAGGACAGATCCTGTAAAGCAAACCAAAGCATATGTTAAGGGTTATCTTTCGGTTTGTTGGGGTGTTTCGCATGAAACCTTTTGACCAATCTATTAGCCTTTACTTCACTGGATTTCACCCAGGTGGCTTCGGATAACGGGTATCCCTTCCATTGTACTAGATACTGCAATTTCCCTCTAAAAATTCTAGAGTCAAGGATACGCTTTACTTCATAGTGGGTCTGTCCCGCAACCACGAGGGGCCCAGGTGCCTTCTTTGGAGGAGGTCTTAACGTGGAGCCCCGATATGGCTTCAACAAGCTACAATGGAAAACTGGGTGAATTTTCCCTAAGAGTTTAGGGAGTTTTAGCTCTACTGTGACTGGGTTGATGATCCTTACTATGGGGAAAGGTCCCAAGAACTTTGGTCCCAATTTCTTGCTGGGTAACTTGAGGCGTAGATATTTAGTTGACAAATAGACCTTTTCCCCAACTTGGAATGTTCTTTGGGGAGCCCTCTTTTTATCAGCCTGCTTTTTATAGGTTTCAAAAGTCTTTTTTAAAGCAGTTTTTGTGTTTCTCCAAACTTCTTCCCACCCCCTCACCCACTGGTCAAGTGACCGGGAAGCGGAGGGCATCTGAAGATATTCAGGTATTGGGTTGAATTCTTTTCCTGTGGCCACTCTGAAAGGTGTGTAACCGGTGCTGCTGTGCACAGAATTATTGTACGCCACCTCCGCAAAAGGGAGAAGATCAGTCCAGTTTGTCTGTTGGTAAGAAACGTAGCACCTAAGATATTGCTCCACCATTTTGTTAGCGGCTTCTGAGGCCCCATTGGTGGCCGGATGAAAAGCAGATGATAAACCTTGAGATGATCCAATTAATGTAAGGAAAGTTCTCCAAACCTTCGCTGTGAACTGCACCCCCCTGTCCGAAATTATCCGCTTAGGGGCGCCATGCAGCCGGTAGATATGTTTCAGGAACAATTTGGCCAGTTGTTGGGCAGATGGGAGCCCTTTGCAGGCGATGAAATGAGCCTGCTTCGAGAACAGGTCTATTACAGTCCAGATGACAGTGTTTCCATTACTTTCAGGTAGGTCTACTATAAAGTCCATAGCTATTTCTTCCCATGGTTGAGAAGGGTCTGCCACGGGTTGCAGTAGTCCAGGGGTTTTCCCCGGGATTCTTTTCATTGTGGCACATACAGTACAACTTTTTACATAGTTTTCCACATCCTTTTTCAGCCCCAGCCACCAGAATTGTCGGCGGGTGAGGTGTAGGGTTTTCAAATATCCGAAGTGTCCAGCCTGTTTTACATCATGGCTGTGTTTGAGAGCATTAAGACAGAAGGCTTCTGGCAAATATAGTTTTCCCCCCATGTAAGCCAAACCATCCCTGCACGTTAGGGAGGTCTGATTTTCTTTGAACCATTGGTCGGTGAGGAGTTCTCGCTTTATTTTCTTTGCTCCAGGGTCATCAGGATTGGGGACCCTACGAGGTGTAAGTTGAGTGGCAGTTTGCAATC